AAAAGTGATGAATCAAACACTGCCACTGTGCGAAAAGGAATTAGAGTGCTGGCGAAGCCATTAGTCGGAAATGGTTGGACAGTTGAGCAGTTGAACAGTTGGACAAATGAAATGGGATGGTAGTCCCCGAGGATAATCAAGTGCAGCATGCTCGCCAGTAAACTCACTTTATTCTCTATCCCCTCAAGTTCAAAAGTACTTGCCTGCTACCTTCATACAAATGATTATAGGAATGAAAAGAACGTATGCCCAGATGACACTGATCTGAATAGGAAATGTCTCTTTTAGCACAAATAGCCAGACACTGCAGCACTCTATAGTTGCATTCAATTATATTGCATATCCTTTTTGTAAGTTCAATTTGCACGAGTGTCCTTTCGCAGGCTCTCGGCTCCATTAGATGAGTCCTTTTTGTGCGCTCCACCAAGCACACAGTTTTGCCCCGAAATAAAATGAGAACTCAAAAGCATTTCCACATGGCAAACAAAGGATGTAATTCAGCCTTATTAGGATTCCCAGAGCGAATTTCTTAAATTCCAGCCATTCAGCAGTGCAAATCACATCCACATAACCCGTCCCGTCCCGTCGCATGCAAATGAAGTACAGTCTCCCGGTTTTGCCACTACACAAAGGACACTCATTATGCACTTGCATGTTCTGCCCACCACCCCTTTTTTATACTTTTTCACGGCTCCTTTTAAATGGCAAACTTTTTTGCTAGCTGCCACACACTTTAAGGCAACCCCCGCCATCAAAAAAAAAATAGAAAAATATAAAATACGGAAGGCAAAAAAACTAAGCAATCGCAACAAGCGAAATGGAAGCTGCCAGCATTTTATCACATTGACACGCCACGCCCACTCTGCCCCCTGAAAAGTGAGCAAGGCAGGAGGGGGAGGGGGAGGGGGGCGTGCTACACAGCCACAGTTTTGCGGTTATGCCATAAAATGTTGCATTTTGCTTTCGGTTTGCCAAACGTCTCGGCCAGAATAACCCAGAATGCAGAATGCTTCGTGTTGCATATGTGCAACAACTTAACTGCCAACCGCTAGGTAACTCTTACTAATACTGCCACTGTTTCTACAACTGTTTCTTCTGCACTGCGAGAAATGCTCGCTCGATCTTTCAGTATGAAAAGACTGAGACATATAAATACTAGAAAAAACAACATTTTTTTGGGAAATCCGTCTGTAAGCCATAGCAAACTAGCTGACCCATATTTTTCTAAGTGCACCAGTGCCTTTGCAACTTAAGCTGGGGCAATTTGTTGCAAGTCAGTTGTGGGTGCCGGTGATTCCGGTGAGCTCCTGGCTCCGTTTACACCTCACCCCGGACACGTTAAATGCGCACAGCTGCCGGGATTACCAGGCGGAATTTGCAAATGTAAACGCAGCGAATTAGTCGCGCCCCGAACACACCGAACAGCCCTCGGAAAAGGGAAACCCATGAATGGCAGGAGCAACACCCTCACTTCGCCATTCAGCCAGGACACACATACACACTCACCCCCGAGGGCGAATAGTAAACATATGAAAATCACACACAAATAAATGTAATAAACAAAGCGGCATCTCATCTCGATCGGGCTGTGGAGTGGGTCTGGGTCCAGTCCAGTCAAAAGTGGTCAGGGGACACGGCCCCTTGGCTTCCTGCTCGTCCACCCGCAGCCCCTGGACGCGTTCGATTGCAGCCTGCCAAAAAATTAACAGATGTCTCGCATTAGATGCGCTTCACTCGACCCCAGAGACCCGCGAGCGGCGGGCCAATGAGGCGATTTATGCCACAGTGGGTCAAATAGTTCTTCAAAGAGAGCGAACAAATTTGAAAAAAATTTAATTAAATGGAAAGAAAGAAGGATCTGAACATTTAGAATGCCCGTTTGACAGGTTTTCTAACTTCAGTTGGGTGTAAAATATTTCAATAATCAATCAGTGGGTCAACAAGTTCTTCTTCTCGAACAAATTAAAAAAAATTTAATCAAATGAAATAAAATTAAGAAAGAAGGATCTGAGCATTTAGAATGCCTATATCACTCTTATGGGCTACGAACGTTTGACAGGTTATCCAACTTCAATTGGGTGTTAAATATTTCAATAATCAATCAGTGGGTCAAAGAGTTGTTCAAAAAGAACGAACAAATTTGAAAAAAAATTTAATTAAATGAAATAAAATTAGAAAGGAGGATCTAAACATTTAGAATGCCTATATCACCCTTTTATGGGCTACAAACGTTTGACAGGTTTTCCAACTTCAACTGGGTGTTAAATATTTCAATAATCATTATTCGGCTGCACGTTAAGATTGAAGTGCAAAAATATCAGTTCTGACCCACTGTGCACTGCGACCACTGCGGGTTAACCGTGGAATGGAATCGGGAGCAATTTTTAGGCAAGCGGCATCGAGACAAATCGCCAACGAATAAAGCAAATCGGAATAAAGCATTTTGGGCAGAGTGGAGTGGGAGTGAAGTGGCATTGGGGGACAGGGGGCGTGGCACGGGGCACGGGGTACCGCGAGATAAGCCACACGGCAGCAGGTAGAAAAATGCCTGTGTTTGTGTTTGTGCTGCTATTTCCTTTTTCAATATTTACTCTTTCCGCTGGAGACCACATTTTGTCGCACGATTTAGTTGCCTCAAGAGGGAATTCTTCAGATTACCCTACAATTATGAACAACGCGACAGTTCGCCAGGCAAATAAACCAATTTGTAAACAATTTCCAGTGAGATTTGTAAAATATTTACTTGTGCCATTGCGCCATTCTGTGTATTAAAGTCATGACTTTACTTTGAAATTTAAAATTTGCCGATCTTATAAAAACACTTTTTAAAAAGTGAGTGGTTTTGCGACGTCGGTGTCCCAGCAAATCTATTTTCTTGTTATGCATATTGTTTCCCCGCAGTTGGCCGCGATATCCGCCGTGTTCGTAACGCTTTGTGAATATTTGGAGCCGACCGAGGCTCCAGTAGCCAAGTGGTCAGCTGGAGGAGATTGTGAGTGGCGGAGAGGAATGGAGTGGAGCTAGACAGATGGGCTGGGTGGGGAAATGGGACAGAATAGAAACAAGGACAGCCAGCGGCTGCAAATTCGCCCAGACATAAATATTTTTTATCACTTTTCGAGCGCTCCATCTTTCCAGCAAACCGTGTCCTTGTGCCCCCGCGCTGTTTATTTCGTTGCATTTGTAATGAAGTCCGGACTCGGGATTCCGGCGGAGACTAATTCAAATTTAAGCCATAGAAAATTAATTTTTTGGCTACCATCCCATCCATCCGGCCAAAAACGCTTCGCGGTGGCTGCAAAAGCTGATGGAAGGGCACAGAAGTAGACGGACAACTTTCGGCTTATTCGGCTTAGTGGGCTTCAAGGTCGATTAAGGGCCGTTGGCCATGGGTTAAAGAGTTTAGGGAGATTTTCTGGCCGGGATCTGGGACGCTTTGTTTACGGAGATCAGCCGACATTAGTTGGAAATCCCCCCAGACTGGAGTACCAAGCACTGAACCTAATTTAAATATTTCAAACTCTCAATTGTGAGTTACAGAGATTGATGAAGCTCACATTCGATATAGTAAATACGTTCTCTTATTATATTTCCAAATTAGAGAAATTAGCTGGGTAATTTCCTAGTTAGTACGTAGTAAATTACTAATACCTAGTGATTCCCTCCATTTTCCTCCATCAAGCTAATCCTTTCCGCTTCAACTCGTTGGCCATTTCCCGGGGCAATTGTCATGGGATTTTCCTTTTTCTTTTGCCATAAGCCATAAATTAGTGCCGACCGACGTTGCGTTGAGTCTTTAAGCTGACCTTCGACCCCCCCACTCTCCATCAACTTTGCACCACCCACTTTTGGGCTGGACCACTCCCCCACTTGGTTTTGGCTTTTGATTAATTCTGGATGAGGACAACAACGTGGACGTCAATGGTCCACGGAAAAGTTAATCGTTAGTAATTTATGGCCCTCCAAGGAGGCGTAGATGTGGGCGTGGCAGTTAAGGTAAGGCGATCTGAAAGTAGCGTTAATACCGCATGGGATGATGATGCTAGATGGTCGCCGGCCAAATCAGACAGAAATCCCGATATGCTTGGGTCACATTCTCCGTGCCAACTGAGTGGTATGTGTGGACAATTGTGCCGACATTCCAAGTCTCGAATAAAATACCAAAAATGCAAAAGGAGAAGAATATGTGGATGGCAATTTGGAGCTGTGGATCTGTGGAGCTGTGGAGGCGATGGCATCGATGGCGATTGCCAGTGCAAGGCTAAAGTACTCAAGTGCAATGGGAAACTGGAGTGCTGATGAAAGGATGAGCAGAGGGCACTGGCACAATCACAAACGCAATCACACAATGCTCGCAATTGAAAACGCCACTCGAGTCGCCGTCCCCAACTTTCGTCCCCTTCCCCTTCTCCTGCTGCAAATGCACTCAATTGTACTGTCCAATTCCAAGTCCAGTGTGAGTGACCATGAAAAGACCTCTGCTCTTGACCGAGGGCAGCTCCAAAGATCAATATCAATGGCAGTGAGGCAGCTCCACCATTCGGTTTCAATGAAGGAATATGGTGCTACTCAATCAATTCATGCTTTATCATCGGCACAGTCGAGAATCCCATAAATTTCGTATTTACATAAAAATAGCACATGTGATACATAGTGTTTCTTGAACTACTAAAACGTATGTGCTTCAGATAACTCTATCTTCTACATTTAGCCATGCCCATTCGAATTTCATATACGAGTATTTGATAGTTGTGTCCTATTAAGTGTAGTTGCTGTGGCAAGTTACAAAAATGTGCGCAACAAAGGAATTTTTTAAAAGTATTCTAAATGTCTATAAAGCGAGTGGTAACAATATATGGCTTTTTTATGCACCCAATGTAAGCTTTTGAAACTTGGCCCTTCAAAATTTGTATAATTTGCGTAGAATCCTTTGGGATCCAGTGAGCTTGTGACTACGAGTATGTATATCTAGAAAAATATCTATAAGGATAGGTACTCACTCTTGCACTCGTTGGCATCGTTGTCGGTGGCCCTGCCCCAGGGTCGGTCGAAGTAGAAGGGTTTGCAGCGTTCGCATTCCGGTCCGGCGGTGTTGTGCTTGCAGGCGCAGGTCATGGTCAGCTTGGCGCTCATCTGGGTGCTGCGGCCAAAGTGGGCGGCTAGCGAGGGGGCGGAGGGCGTGTCCTCGTCCTGCCCATCGTCTTGGTCCGCAAGGGCCGCTCCTGATCCCGAACTGACGGTGGCCACACACTCGGAGGCGTGGCCATTGCACTTGCAGCGTCCGCCGACGGCGAAATCCGATACGGCGTAGTGCTGCGAAATGGGCAGGGTCACGGCGGAGGAGGCGGCGGCGGCGGATGAGGAGGGGGCAGCTGTGCTAGGTGGCGTGGCCTTGCCAGGTGGCGTCACCTTGGGCGGCTGCTGCGGGGGCGTGGTGGCCGCCAGTTTGCTCTGGTAGTGCTTCTCGTAGGCGCTACCCTTGTGCTTGCCCTGCCTCTTTACAATCGATTCACCATCACTGGCATAGTCCAAATGCAGATGATCGTCATCCAGTTCCAGATGCTTCTTGGGCTCCTCGTACTCATCGTACCCAGCATCGCCGCTATCGTTGTCCTGCAGATTGTAATCGTACTCATCCTGCTCGCCGTCCAACTCCAGGTCCGCATCATCATCCTCATCCTCCTCGCGACTGCCGCCCATCTCATCGCTGAAGGCATTCGCATTTTTCACCTTCAGCAGCTGCGGTGGCAATTCAAGGCGATGGAATACCACTCGTATATCCGTGGCCGTCACCCAATCCTGCAGGACCAGCGAGGAGTCCAAATCGTTGGCCGACGGACGACCCTCCAGTGTATTGAAGGCAAATCGCTGGGCAGCTCCGCCCGTATCGTGCTGCGAATTAATGCATCTTGCCTCCTGCTCATTGAACTTGGAGATCTTGGCTCGATCCGGCCGTCCATAGAACTTCTGACACTGTGAGCTGTAGAACTGGAAGGGTTGCCAGGTCTGTCCGAAATCCGAACTCTTGAATATGGCCAGCGAATCGGGACGCGGCGAGCGGGGACAAAAGGACAACGATATGTAGGTCAGCTCGTACTTCTTGCCCAGCGACAAGGTTAGGGTCACATTATCCGGCGGCGCACTGTCCGGGTCGTGGGGCACATTCACGGCACCCGATCGCCAGCAGGTCACATTACTGGGATTATTCAGATCGGTCAATGCCGCCGGACCGTACCGCTGCTGTTCGCATGAGCGGCACTCGCCGGCATTTCCGTCGCGCAGCAGTTCGCAGTACCGCTCCGGCTGTTGGGCGCCACAAACGCTGGATGCCTGGACGGGATTTCCATAGGCGGCATTCACGAAACTGGGCAGACACTTGCGCGGCTTGCCCTCGAAGTAGCAGGGATCATTGGAGGATATGCCGGCGGCCAAAGATCCGATGGCCAGTGCCAGGATTACGGGCAGGAGCAGGCCCATCCTTGTCCCTGTCGCTCTGACCCTGAATCGGAAAGGGGAGAACTATATAGTCGGCGCTGATGGCGACTATCCCACACCCTATAAGCTTCTCATATTCCCTACTTTTAGTCAGTGGGTAGCAAAACAGATTATTTGAAACAGAATAGTAACAAGTAACTAATAAAACATTCTCTGTTCTATAAATTCCATCAAATATAACTGCGATTCCTTTTTTTACAAAACCAATAAACACAAATGCACCACTACTATTAGTAAAGAAATTAACAGAGATCTTAAAGAAAATATTTTAAAATTTAATTTCTTTTTTGTATTAAACTCATAAGCACCGTCGAATCGTTCAAAAAATTTAAAAGTGTTTTCAATTCAATTTCACTTTATACAAGTCTTAAAATCAAGAAATAATAGATAAAGGAACTTGACTTTTCTTTATAGCTATCAGTTGAACTATCCAAAAATATGATAAAGCTCGGACAGCATAAAGTTGCTGTTTTGGGGAACTTATAAAACCACTTCCTGATTATTTTATTATTTAATTATGAATCGGGAATATTCGAAGCTTATGGGAACGCAGCGTCAGTTACGTACATTGGCTCGAATGCGAAATACCTCGTACTCTTTCTCTCTTGCACTGTTTCTTCAATTGTTTCTCAGAGGATTATGTGTATATATTGCTGTCTCGGTCACACTCTCGCGAGGATCGATTCGCGTCGGGGTCACCAAACAAACAAACAACAAAAACAAGACGCGGCGACGTCACCCGCGGCGTCACTGAGTCTGCCGCAACAGCATGCAACAGCTGCCAATTCTCAGTCTCAGTTTTGGTCTCAGTCTATCCGATGCGATTCGATGCGTTGCGATACGATAATACGAAATACGATACGATAGTCTTGATTCTTGTTAAAAAGTAGGGGAATTCTTCAATCCCAAAGCCGATTCTCCGGGCTGCGTTGCCACTCGGTCAACGGCCAGCGTGTTTCTGTTCGTCGCGGCGACGTCCTCGCGCCAATTGCCCCCAAAAAAGGTCCTGCGAAGTCTTGTTTCCTCTCGTTTCGTTTCGTTTCGTTCCGATTCGTTTCGATTCTCTCGTCCAGGCGCACTGATTATTCAAAGGAGGCTGGTGCTCCTTCCTTGTCGCACCACTCCCACTCTCGTTCTCTATCTCGCTCACTCTCGCACTCTCAAACAACAGAGTGTAACTGAAAAAAAAAACAACAACGAAGGCCCGACGCGCACTTCGGTTGAATTCGATTTCGTACTGCCTCGAAATCGCCACGGAATCGTCTCAAAATCGCTCGCTTGCGCCGCTCAACGTTGTTTACCTGGCAAACGCTCGGTCGAAACTGTTTGCGTTTGTTTGCATTTGCTTTGCGGGAGAGAGAGCAACATTTGGTGATGCTGCTTGGCAACATTTGTGCTGCCGCAACATTGATGCAGCCTGAATGTCACAAAGTTTATGATGCTGGAAATTCTCGAAAGAGCAGTACTTTTGACTTGAATTCGAAGAAATATTGAAATATACTTATATTCTTTTAATGTTTTATTGATTTGTAATTTATTTTAAACTTGTTATTAATAACAAAAAATAATTAGGAACTTCTTTGGGCTGTTAAAAAAGTAAATACACAAGATCAAGATTAATATGTTTTACGGGCAATGTTATTTATTTTTAAGTACAATGCAATGCAATTGGAATTATTTCTAGGTCCAATGTTGCTGGATGCTGTTCGTGTTGCTGGGAGCAGCCTGCAACATTTGTTGCTAGCTCTCTCTCTCATCATGTTGCCTTCGATTTTCAAAGTGTTGATAAGGGACTCAATAAATATGTCAGAAATATGAGATCTATGAACTCTCAATCTGCCAGGAAAGCAGCTTTATCTATCATTTAAATTATTTAATGTACTTATTTACCATGAATATTCTTCTTCATTAATATTCAATTAATAGAATTATTTCTCAGTGCAAGTTTAATTAAATGTAACTACTTGAATTGTAACTTTTCTTTTGAGACATTACATTGGAGTACTTATAAAATATGTATAAATGATCCCTACTTTCCCTTTTTTTAAATATTTTGCACACGGAATATAAACCTACCTTACTCGATTCCAGGTCGCACCTTCCTCACAACAAAGACCCCGATCACAAAACTTCCGCTGTCATGATTCCGTTTCAAAAATCCACTCATTCACAAATGCTAATCGCAGACGGAGGAGATATACATCTGTACATCTGTATGTATATAGTACGTACGCACATGAGTGCATGTGGGAATAAGAGTCAACTTCAGATGGAGAAGACACTGCGACGCCTGCGCAACCGCTTCTTTCTTTATTTATTGGCCTCATCTTCCTGAAAAAGCGATTCTTAATGCTCGGAGCTTGCCCAGTGGCATGCCCCAGGCAGCGAATTGTAAGAAAAGGGAACGTGCCGGTAGAAATCTTCACCGGTTCCCCAGACAGAGCTTCCGTTCGAATGGTCACCCTTGTCCCAAAAAACACTGTGCAAATCTGCACGAATTCATTGAAGTTGTAGAGTGCATATAAGGCAGTCAAACTCTTAAAAGCGCATTATTGATTTCATTAGTGCATGTACTTTATGGCTAAAAGCAACAGTTATCAGCATATTGGTAGAATTTCAATAACTGAACAATATTACCCTTATTTTCTGTGCGTGCACTTCCTTTCTGGTTTTGATTTATTGTTTTTGACATATTTCTCGTTCGTCGTTTTTTGGCCTCCCATTTCTTCGGCTCCCGAGGACGGAATGTCCAGGCTTGAAATTCGGGCCTGAATTTGGGTCTGCGTTTCAAGTGGATTCTGAGCTGAAAATCGTTGTTTGTAATGTTTTATTTATAGCGGATTTGTTTCTGCCGCCACTTTTGGCTTTCCGTCGTCATTGTTTGTAAATATTTATGCCAAGCCGCACATGTGTGTGTCAGTGATGCCAATATTTTTCTGAAAAAAAAAAGGACAGATATTTATATAGTTAACTTTTAATTTAATATTTTAAATGTTTCGTTCACGACGCATTCGTCCTCAACGTTTGCTTCATACGTTGCCATTGTGCCAATGCGTTTCAAATACGTTTCGGGCATTTTTTAAGTGTTTCCTGGTTTCCTGGCCACGCTTTTCATCGGACTTAACAGGCAAAAAGGGTTTGTTATTTACTTGAGCACAGCAATTTCTTAACAAGAATTTTATATTGTATTTTAAATATTTTTTATGAATAAAAATAAATATTATAGCATTTCTTGTGATCTTGCAAGTAATCACACCTAAGAACACATACACCTCACTCACAGCTCGGCCGGTAGGAAAAATTACTTGAAATATTTTGCGACTCTAAATTAGAAGATATGCCTTACAGTCTTCTCTAGAACTAGTTGGGAAGTATAGGGCTACAAGAAAATAAGTTTCCTAAACAAATATTAAAAGCGGCAATAACTATGTGTTCCGACAGTAAGTTAAGCACTCTTCAGGCTTTATTTAAGACAATTTTTACTACTTTGTGCAAGTAACACAAACAATACATACATACATGCATGCCTACATGCATACATGCATACATACATACATACATACATACATACATACATACATACATACATACATACATACATACATACATACATACATACATACATACATACATACATACATACATACATACATACATACATACATACATACACTACACTACACTACACATACACTCACTGCTCGACCGGAAAGAGAGATTACTTAAAATATTTTGTGACTCTAAACCTGAAGTCATGTCAGTCTTGACTAGAACCAGTTGGGAATTATAGGGCTGGCTACAAGAAAATATTTTTCCTAAGCAAATATTAAAAGCCCCAATAACTATGTGTTCCGACAGTAAGTAAAACATTCCTCAGACTTTAATTAAGACAATTTTTACTACTTTGTGCAAGTAACACATACACTACATACATACATACGCACATACATATATATACATACATACATACATATATATACATACATGCATACATATATATACATACATACATACATACCCTACACATACACTGCGGTTGCATAGTGCAAAACATTCTTCAGGCTTTATTTAAGACAATTTTTACTACTCACTTTAAAGACCTCACTATATCACTCACTAATATAAAAGATGAAAAAACAGGACAGATTTTTTTTATGAATATTATTTATTTTTAATGCTAAATGGCATCACTGGTGTGTGTCCCTTTCTCAAGACTCCTCGTTTTGTTTTTATGTTTTCTTTGACCTGCTGCTTGTTTTCCCTTTGCCCCTTTTTGATTTGGGTCCATTTCGCTAATTCCGAAGGCTGGTCTTAATGGAATTTAAATTTCATGCGATTCCTTGCCTAGGAAACCGCAGCGAAATATGTTATGGCTGGCTTTTCTATATTGCGGTAAACTTTCGGTCGATTTCACTACGCCCGGAGCTCTGGCAGTCAGAAATTTGAACCGCAACTCCAGCTTGGGATCTATGCACTCAACAATATTCGTAGTCAAATTAAATTTTTGTGTGTATAAAGACTTATATGACATCATGATGCATTATATTTTTGAAAATAAGGGAAGCTTCCGTAAAATAATACGTAAAAATTGGGACCCTAATGAAGATTAGGTATTTGGATTATTTTCATTAAAAAAAAATATTTAAATACTGCATAAATTATGCCTAACTTCCTCGCCGTGCACCGAAAAGTGCGGAACGTGTAATTATGACGCCGCCTCGCACTTGGCCAAGCAAAATGCAAATGGTCAGCACCTGATCATTACGATCATTATAGAGCTGACTGAGTTGCTCCAGATGAGGCCACTGATGGCCATGATGATGATGATGACGGCGATGAGGCCCCTGGTCAACGCCTTTCATTTGGGGGCGTGGCACTGGCGCGTACGCCTTGCCAAATTTGTCCCACGATCGCGATATTTTCCGGCTTGAAACATTTTCCCTCTTTGGCAGTGCAAAAAATGGGAAAAATTAACGGAGAAATGTGTGAAAATAACAAGGCTTTCAGGTAGTACATGTAAATTTAATAAGCTTAAATAGGGAATATACATTTTTTTGTTAAGAGACTTGTTCGTTTTTAAGCTTTTCAATATTTCATATTCATTTATTTTAGTTCTATAAAATATATAGCTTGTTGCATAACTTTATACACCCACCATAGTTAACAGCGTACTAAAATATAAACTTGTTTATCGATTGTATAAGATACTCAATTCATTTTCCAAAACGGCTCGGCTTACTGCCTCAAAAATGTTTGCTGGAATATTTGTTATTTCTGGTTTTCCTGTTGTTGCGGTTGCTGCTATGTATTTCTAATGAGACTTTTCGGTGGCGATACTTCCACCTCTTTTCCAGCGTTCGTATTTCCGTTTCCATTTTTGTTTTCACTGAAATGATTTATTTATTCTTGCTCATTGCCCTTCGCAAGCTTTTGGCCTGTCCGCCGCAACACACATCCCTTAGAGCCAGGATTGACTGTTACACTGAGCCAAATAGTGTGTTTGCTTAATACTACAAGCTGTATCGCATTTAGGATTGTGTTTATTTATCACTCACACTTGACTGTTTCCCAATAGAATGGCCATTGTCAATGGAAAAGCCAGCGACAAATACCATTTCTGAGCCCAATAAGCATAAGGGTTTCTTGCTACCACATAAAGTAAATAAATAAATTTTGTTTTCAATTTCTTTCTGTGTGCCCAGACGCTCCCTTACATCTTCTTGGCCCAACATTTTTGTGGTTTGCCGGAGCTTCTCTGGCTGCTGGTGTTTTGGCTGTAATTGTTGCTGGGAAATTGCTTCTGGCATTTGATTTGTACATCATTTTTAACGAAGCATAAAGTTTTCTATATAAGCGATGTTTCGGTTCAGAAGAACAGGACAGACACAGAAACACATCCTTGTTTGCTGCAGCCCTTGACTGCCAAGCATCAAGATAATGAACAAAAACTTGGCATACATACATCTGTAGTGTTAATAATAATATTATTATTATTTTTGCCTCCGCTTTCACAAAAAGTGATTTGCTGTTTTCACTGTACTTTTCACGGTCCTCTGTTCCTGACAGAATATTTAATAGGCATTTTCGTTCGCTGGTCACATTAAATCAACCAATTAGAAAATCACAATGCCAGAATGGAAAAATGGAGGAAACAAATTGTGAAAGGGAAAATATGGACTATTACAATGATAATTTCAATTTAATTAGCTGTACTGCTGTTTTCTTGTCCAATAAACAAACGTTATTGCTTTTTGCCTTTTCTGAGACGACTTGAGCGCTAAAAGTATAATATGCATAATTTTAACTTGTTCAGGACCAATTTTCAAAA